GCTCTGAATCTCTACTGGACATGCCACCTTAGTGATATCGGGAGGTTGTGTCTCATCGAGTCAGGAGGTGTTTGCTTTTCCTTTTTAATTTTTGCACAGGCCAGACCTTTCAAATTTACATTTTTGGGTGTGAATTCCAATTCCAGCTGTTCAGGCTAGACATGAGAGGAAGGCTGTTGATAGAAGCCCTGTCAGAAGCTGTCTTTGTTGGTATTGGGTTTCAGAAACAGGAATCTCGAACCCTGTCCTCTGTGTTTCTGGGTCATTCCTTTGTCTTTTGCATTTCCTGGCCTAGAAGTGGGATCTGTAAGCTCCTCACTTGTGAAGCATCCCCAGCCCCACATGTTACCCTGCACAACGTGAACTGTAGTCTTAAAGCAGGACATTGGAGATGAACTTAATCTTTCTGTTAAAGAATCTTGAATGCTCCCTGAGTCTGCACTCTTGAATCTTGAGGGCCATCCTATGCAGTTGAGCAAAGGAGTAAGTCTTGAACACTTTGAATTGCAAGTGATATAATATTATTTGCTTAATAATTTGGAGGGAGTTTCATTGAGTTTTAATTTTTTTTTTTACATTAATGAAGGACAGTGTGCCTGAGACCTTTAAGGGAAATTGGGGCTGCTATGGACAGAGACTCAGAAATTTGAACTCTTTCACAGTCACCCTGTTAAGTGGCATACAAAGATGAGAACAGGCAAACTTTGAGAATTCACCTGATAAAGTGCATCTGTGTACTAGGCTCTGAGTGACTTTGCTTGTTGGTATTGTTTCGGCTATAGAAAAAGGGGGCTGGGGAGGAGAATCCAGACAGGATCCCAGGAGCTCAGCAATCTCAGGAGGAGCAGGCAGGAAGCAGAAATATTCTGGTTGCTTGACTTGTATGTGGAGAATCACCTCACTGTATAGGTGTCATAGATTACATCCTCCTAAGAGCATTGCTTGTCAAAGTTCGTGGACCAGTTGGATTTAGTTTCTCAGATGAACTTCTGCGTGATGTCTCCTTCCTCTCAAGGACCTGGAAACTTCCTCCTGTGTTACAGGTTACCTTTCTCTTCTGCCACTTCCACCCTTCCTTTAAGAATTACGACTCATAAATTTAAAAAAAGAATGCAGATTTAAAAAAAAAAAAAAGAATTACAACTCATGACCCTGTGTACAACAGAGCAAAACACTGCCTGGTCCTCTGCCACACCCATCATCTCTACCGTGCTCAGGCTCATCAGTGTAGCTGCTCTGTCACTCAGTCTCCTTGATGGTCTTCCTCTTTCCACCCCACCCCCCAGTTATGGTGTCTTTCTCCAGAGACTAATCCCTCCCGAAAACAAGCCCAAAATGTGTGAGACCAAGGCTCAGTATCCTTGCTTCTTTTTTTTTTTTCTTCTTTTTTTTTTTCTATATTTTATTAATTTTCATAAACATTTACAGAGATTTTGGGTTTCCATTCATTCATTGTTGCACTATTCTCTCTACCCTCCTCCCAGTTTGTTCTTGTCCAAATGCCACAGTGCTTGTCAAAGCCAGTTCTGATTAATCTTCTTTGTCAGTGTGTCCTTTGCCATTCCCTATCACTCCTCCCTGAGAGAGACTTCACCCTGAGTCATAAGGAAAAGGGGATGGTGTATTCTCTTAGCTACTTCCTGCTGAAAAGGGACGCTGTGGGTTTCAGGGTGAAGATCTTCTCTCACTACTCTAAAGGGCCCCTTTGGCAGTAGGAAACACATAGACTATTATGGAGATTGATTTTGGGATTTAGATGCACTCTTATTGATTGTGCTTGGCCGTACATGTTCATATCCTTGAAGATGTATCATGGGGGTGTTGCAACCTAGAAGACACAAATTTGACTAACAAGTTATAAGTACATGAGTCCAAAAATTATGGAAAAGTAAAAGAAAAGATTCTTTCATTGTTTTACAAACCCTCCCCCAGGTCCCCTCCACCATGTAGCCCTCGCTCTAGTCTCCTTGCTTCTAAGGAGCAGTCTGGCTGTATGTGTTGTGCTATTTAAGGCTAATAATTCTTGCACACACAGCTCTCTAAGTAATTAATAATTAACACGTTGCTGCACACTTTTAAATTGATGACTGTGCTTAGAAACATATTTTGCCGTCATTTGCGGCAATGTGTTAAAAATATATAATGAACACAAGGAATATAACGATAATGTCATCTAAGTGGAGAATTAGTGCACTGTCTGTAGTTTACATTAACCCATGTGATTCTTGCCCAGCCCATGCACCTGCCTCCCCCACCCCCTTCTTTGTGCTTTTATTCTGATGGGTTTGTTGTAGATGTTTGACACTGACTGCAGCATGGTGGAGACTAAGAATGGCGCAGGATAGGGCAACTCTCTATTGGGCTTCTATGGCTTTTCATCTTTGTGGGAGAAGACTGCCCATCTTGTTCATCCATTCACGCATGCCACTAATTAGATGACGAGGCATTTGGCCACCTTAAGTGAGTTATAGTTACTCTGCTGTTTACCTATGCTTCATTGGATTTCTTCACTTTCACAATCAGGACACTGGGCAGAAATCACATCGTGTCTCTTTCTGTTGGAATAACTGGTAGTTTCAAACTGCTAACCTTTTTGGTTAGTAGTGGAATGCATAATACATTAAGCCACTAGAGCTCCATCATGTATATGAAAGTACTTTGTAAACTTCTTGTTGTTGTTATGTGCCGTCAAGTTGCCTGCAACTCATAGCGACCCTATGTACAACAGCCCTAAACCCTGCTCTATCCCGTGCCAATCTCACTGTCTCTGATACACCAATCTCCATTACTGCAGAGACTGAGTCACTGAAGGTCTTCCTCTCCTGCGCTGTCCTTCCACTCTCCCAAACATGATGCCCCTATCCAAGGACTGATTCCACCTTGTAACATGTCCAAAAGTATGTACAACAAAAATTCAGAATCCTTGCCTCCAAGGAACAGCCTGGTTTCACCCTCTCTAGGACAAACTTGTTTGTTCTCTTAGTAGTCTATGATATATTTAACACTCTTCTCTAGCACCACAGCTTAAAGGCATCAATTCTTCTTCTGTCATCCCTAGTCATTGTACAGCTCTCTGATGCACAGCAAGTAATTACAAAGACTGTGGCCTGTATCAGGTGCACCTTAGCCTCCAGACTGACATCATTGCTCTTCCATAGTTTGGAGAGTTCTCTGACAGCAGACTTTCCCAATGCAATTCATCTTTTAATTTCCTGGTTGCTGATATCAAGAGTGTTCATTGTGGATCGAAACAAACTGAAGCTGTTAACAATCTCAATATCTTCACCTTTGTAAACTATAAACTGTAATAATGGCTCAAATTTGTGTCTTGGGAATCCAAACTTGCTGTCATCTGGGGGCCAGTATAGAAAGGAGGTACAGGGAGTGAGGAAAACAAGTGGATGACTGAGATGAAAGGCTTAGTCTGAACAATTGATAAATAGAAGAGAGCAATTTAGATCCAGAGAGACTGGGAGATGGAAATTCTGGGACCTAGTATTAATTGGAGCTCTGGTGGCCTAGTGAGTAAGGTGCCGCTTTACCAAGCCTGGTTTGAATCCACCAGCTGCTGCATAGGAGAAAGGTGGCTAGTCTCCTGCATGATTTACTGCCTCTGAAAATCAGCTGGACGGTCAGCTTCAATTTGGTACACAACAGCAATGACTGTGTCTGAAGGGAATTGTGATTTTAACTCAAAGGGCACACCTCTCTGCCCATCTAGGCAGTCTCCTCCCTTGTGATTTATGGACTTTGAAACCCAGTGGTCAGCCACGAGTCATTTCCAACATAGTGACAATGAGAATGAATGAAAATGTACTTCCAAATTATCCTGCCACCATTAGCATTCATTCTTTGCATTCTAAATGAAAACCTCTCTTTGTTCCATTCTCCTGCTCCTGGGAACCACTAATTACTTAAGTTTCTATAGATTTGCTTATTTCATGTAAGCGATAATCCAAAATTTTTCCTTTTGTGTTTGCTTTATTTCACTCTGTACATTTTGTTTATCTGTTCATCAGTTGATGTACATTTATCTAACTAAGTTTGGTAGTTTGAGTTCACTGGAGGAGCGTTAAAGAGGTCTGTGGTGCAGTCTCTAGCGGGTTGTGTTGCTAACCAAAACACTGCATGTCTCTGGCTATTCAAATCCACCAGCAGTTCCACTGGGAAGAGATGAGCAGGCTCACTCCATTAAGTTTTACAGCCTCTAATCTCTATTGATAACCTATGTATCTCTGTTCTCAAGACTACTCTCTGGAAATGGTGACCAAAGGATAATTTTGTTTGTATATGTGATTCTAATTCATTATCATGAGTTCCTCATCAGAAATGTAAACTGTATTAAAGCAGAAATATGGATGTATTTGTTGTCAGGTGCCCTGGAGTCAGAACAGACCCATAGCTGACCCTCCAGTGGATTTTCAAAGCTTGTAAATGGCATGGGAGGAGACTGCCCCTCTTGGTTCTGTGGAGCTGCTTTTGGGTTAAACTGTCTTCCTCGGGTTTGATGGTACAGTTTCCTATGCTAGGCCACCAGAGACCCTTGTATATAATTGTTGCTATATAATACTGTCAGTTTGGAACTGTCTCATGGCTGGTCCTTCAGCAGGTTTTATTTTACTCCAGAGATAGTAACTGCATAGGAGTTGCTTGCCCATCTTTCTCCTGTAGAGTAGCTGCTGAATTCAAGCTGTGTGCTTTTGGGTTAGTAGCTTAACTCCTTACCACAAGGCTATGAAAGCTCCCCTGGTATATATTAAGCTATTTTTAATTTTTTTTAGAGGGAAGAAAATCACTTAAATTTTCAAATAGACATTTTTATCAAATTTCTGTTTGCTAGAATATTCATGTCTCTAGAGTACCTTATTTACTGATAAGAAAAATTAGCAAGCATTATTTCTAATGTGTAAAAGAAAACTGGAATGCAGTCCTGCATTATAGTAACAAGTCCTATACTGTTACCAACACATTTTCTTTCTTTCTTTCTTTTTTTTTTCCAGTTACCTGACTGGACCACGATTGGAGATCTGGCTCCCGAAAATTGCCATCTTTTTGTAAATCTTCAGTCAAGAGGCTTAAAAGGGGGAGGTATAATATGGGAATGTTTGCCATTTTTAATATTATGTTTTTGTGAAATGAAAGCATGTTACATCAAGGCATGTTGAAGGGAGATTAGGGCAAACAGGAAAACAAGATAGATGGGGATACTTTGGCTATCTATGCTAGTCTGATATCGGAGCTCTGGGTTTTTGGATTAGTAATCTTCATGGCCTTTAGTATATTTTGATGGAGTAGGATGTTACAGATTGCATTGCTAACCAGAAGCTCAGTGGTTCAAATCTACCAGCTGTTCCTTAGGAGAAAGATGAGCATTCTCCTCCTGTAAACTTGGAAACCCAGTGGAGGGTCAGCTATGAGTTAGAATCAACCTGGTGGCCATGGATCAGCACACCTGTGGGTAGGGCCTGGGAAATTTTCTTAAATGGTTTTAAATGAGTTCTCTGTTTTAGGTCGGTTTGGCCAGACAACTCCTCCACTTGTTGATTTTCTCAAGGACATTTTAAGAAGATACCCAGAGGGAGGGCAGATTCTTAAGGTAGGACTTCTGTGTGCACGTGTCTGACCTAACATTGATAAAACAAGGTGTTGTAAAAGGATTTAAGTGTTCCTCTGTATGTTTGGGCTTTTAGAAGTTAGTCTGGATTTGAATGGTTGTGTTTATGTCCATGTATATGCTGGATGGTCTGGGAAAGCCCTGAGCTGTTGTGTGTTGTAAGGGAGCTCAGCATCTTCAATGGTATTTTCTTAGAAACATTTTACAGGGGACTTTACAAAGGTAAGCACACAGGTTGCGTCCTAGCTCCTAGATTAAAACAGACTATGAAGCAGTACTGGCGATCCACTTCTGAAAACAACAGGCCTTTGAAAAATCCTTCTGATGAACAACAGAGAGAGGCAGGTAGAGTATTAGATGGAGAGCTCAGATGAAAAGTCACTCAAGAATGAGGAAAAATAGCTGCAGACAAACATTAATAGTGGGAATATGGGATGTACGAACTATGAACGTAGGAAAACTGGAAGTTGTCAAAAATGAAATAGAATACATAAAGATTGATATTTGAGGTGTTAGTGAACTGATGGACTGGCGTGGACCCCTTTGAATCAGACCATCATCTACTTATGCCAAGAATGCAAAATTGAGGTAGAATTGTGTGGCACTGATAATGAAAAGGAGAATTTCAAAGTCTGTCCTAAAGTCCACAGACACTAATACGAGAAAATGAAACTTCTTCCGGCACTTTAGAACCTGGGTATAGAGGTTTGTTTATTTCGGGGACATTATTAAAGAGGATACTTACTTTAATTATCTGTTTTATTTCCAATTTAGTCTGACTACTTTTATTAACATAAAAGCAAAACTGGAAAGTGGAGTAACTGTAAAAGAAAGCAAAGATGGAAGAGATTGCCACAAATTGGATTTTGCATTTTAGCCTAGTACGAAACCTCCTTAAGTAATTGTAAAATTAGATTCGTTTTTAGCATTTTCCTTCTCATTGATTTGTTTGGTGTTTACATGCCTTCAGCATCTTGCTCATGCTGTTGAGTCACATTATACTCATAGCAACACTCTGTTAGATTTCTGAGGCTGTAAATCTTTATGGGCGGAGACTACTGGTCTTGTCCCTTTGGAGTAGTTGACCTTTGAACTGTTGACCTTTTATTTAGCAGCATAAACTTTGTAACATACTTACTACAGGTTTCCTAGGTTGTAAATTGAAATAGGAGGGATGCAAGTATTTTTCATATTTTCTACTATGTAAGGTAAATTTTTATGATATGAAGTCTAGCTTCTTATGTAGCCCTGCTTAGGTAGGCTATGACCATGATTGATGATTTTTGCATTTTTAGTGGTTGGAACAGCAATGTCATGTTGGAATTGAGGCAGCATTTCCTTCAGAGGAGTCACCCATGGTTCATAGGAGGTTAACTTGGAAATGGTTTTTAGATTGACTTATTAGAAGAGTGAAGTTGAGAAGAGTGTGGGCATTGAATTGTTCCAGGGGTAAGGGAGGTGAATAGAATGCAGTTAAAATGGGAATTTAGTGGGTGGTAAAGGGAGTCACATCTAATCAAGTCACAAGTGAGTGATGGGTTTGCCTGGCTGAAGATTGAAGTGGCAGGATGAGTAGGATCTTCCTGTTTTCTTAAAGGCTGGCCTCAAACTGAAGCATGCAAATCTTGTGTTTTTTATCACATGGGCCTGACCACTTATCCACCCAACCACTCACCCACATCCACCAAACAAATACTACTACTGCCTTCTCTATGAAAGGAGCTCTGATGACAGTTGTGGCAGCTGTGAAGACAAGTGAGTCAATGCTGACCTTCAAGAAGCTCTTAGCTTAGTACAGAAGAAAGACATGTTCACAGTGCAAGTTCTCAAGAATGTACTGGCTAAGTGGGTGGCTGACACTCTTTGGGATCCTCCCTGCCTTGAGAGAGTAGGCTCATCAAAGTAGGGTCATGAAAGGTTTGTTTTTGATAACTAATCCCCAATGAGATACCTGCCACCTGTGATAGAAGTCTTCTGGGAGAAGAGCAGGCATGCCAGTTTGGAAAAATTTCTATGGAACACAGGCTTTGTACCTAAGAGCCAGAGTTATAAACAGAGACAAAGAGAATAGGAGGCTGAAATAGGAATTGCCAGTGTATATAATTGGCTAAGAAGGCATTCTCTTTGCAGCCATACTCCCAGATATATCTAACAGCTCCTTTCAAGGCTGTGCTCACTGACTCTTAAAGATAATGATGCAAATCATCACTTAAATATACTTATTTTTTCAAATACTACATGTAAATGCAAACATGGGCAGTAGACTACTACATTACTTAATATACTTTTTATTTTGCTGTATTTTGTGGTTAGGAATTAATTCAGAATGCAGAAGATGCTGGGGCCACAGAAGTCAAATTTTTATATGATGAAACTCAATATGGAACGGAGACTCTTTGGTCAAAAGATATGGTGCAGTATCAGGGTAAGGACCTGTAATTAACTGGGAGCAAGTTATATTTTCTATACTAACATAATAGGGCTTTATACTACTCAGCTAATGAACCATCCAATGGGCATTTGTAGTCTGTTTCTTGTTTGTTAACTCTGCTTTGTCAGATGGCTTATTTTTGGTAATGAGACTAATAAAAGAATGAAAAACTCAAGACACAGTTACAAGGTGATTGATGTGTGTGTGTGTGTGTGTGTGTGTGTGTGTGCGCGCGCGCGCGCGCGCATTTTGTTGTTACTGTAAGAGATACAACATATTTGCCAATTCAACATTTTTTATATGACAATTAAATGATATTGATTACATTAATCATATTGTACAGTCATCACTATTACCTGCCATTTTTGCATAAAGCTTTTTTTTTCATGTGGAAAGAAATTGTCAGAGGCTGTGATTTTGTGCATTGATTTCTTCAGCAAGTGGGATGGGAAAAAATATTGAAAGAGGGTAAGGCAACACAGAAGATAAGAGCAAAGACAGTGAGATCCTGAAGGGGTAGATTCTGCTGTCTGGCTCCTGCTCGCTGATGTGTTGAGTTAAAAAGAAGGCTCATTGAAGACAGTGGAGACCCCATGAGAGGAGTGACACAGTCAGCAAGTAGGTTCAAATGTATAATCATAAAGTGGATACGGCCAGGCCAGAAGTTCTCCTTTCATGCAGAGGGTGGCAGTACACTGGAGCCGGCTTAACAGGAAACTGCAGCTCTAAAGTCAGCAGGATGATTTTGAGTGCTTCTATGTGATGCAATTATATTGATAAAGAGAAGGATCAGGTCACACGTTTCTAGACAGATTTTGACAGATGTGGGTCAAGTATTTTTAATAAAAAGGTGTTTTAAAATTTAGGATAGTAATTTGCAATTTTGCTAATATTTTATATTTATTACAATTAACTGATTCTTAGTAAAATTTGTTATAAGAAAGTAGTATTTTCTTTATTTTAGAAGTACTGCTGTGCGTTCTTGACTCAAAATCCTTGTCAACTTTGTGCTCTTGGCAAGACATCAACTTTGTCCTATTTCTACTGAAAGAGTTAATTTATTAGATTTCCTAGCTTTATGAGGCTGTGTGGTAATGTTGATCACTGCTGTTGAGAAGCAGGAGTGGCTAGTGGTTGAGTTCTTGTTTTTCATCTAAGAGACCTGGGCTTGCTCGTTCACTCACTCCCTCCCTCTCTCACTCACTCACTCTGTCTTGGGTCTGTTAAATTCATAGTGGTCCTCCATTGGGATGGACTAGGGAGAAAGGCTTGGTGACCTATTTCTGAAAATCTCAACACTCGAGTCCACCGTCAGTCATGGGGACGGTGAAGGCGCTGGTAGCATGTTTGTGTCATTGTACATGAGCTAGCTGTGAGGGGAGCTGCCAGTGCCTTCACTGTATCAGACAATAGCAGCCTCTATAGAAAGACAGCATTTGGATTCAGAGAACTTTTTCAAATATAGCTACAGTGCTATACAAATCCAGGGAGCACTAGTGTGTAGAATGGCAGGTGGGAGCCTCAGACTGATTCAATGTGTGATTAAGACAACTCTTACTTCACTTCAGTCTGCTCCCCCACAAAATTGCAGCAGAGAAAAATCTGTCCTCCAGTTATTTTAAGAGTTATCTGAGATTATGCATGTGGTCGTGTTGTGTATCTGGTGTCATGCACATGTGAATTACAATATAGTTACTCACCAGTTTGTACCAGGGAATTATGGAGTTAGAAAGATGAGTGTATGAAGAGGTTGTAAAAAGAGTTTTTGGTTTCAAATCCTACCTAGGTCTAGGAGTTTTTACCTTTTAGCCTTGGCTTTGCCTCTTTGTTTAAAAATATATATATAATAGTAGGCCATTATTTAGAGGCACTTTTAGGTTTATAGAAAAACTCAGCAGAAAATAATACAGGGAATTTCCATGTATTTTCTTCTCTGCCTACGCCTTCCCCAGCTCCAGCTTCCTCTATTAACAGCTTGCATGTGGTACATTTGTTATTATTAATTAATCAATATAGATACATTATTATTAATCGGTGCTCCTAGTTCACATTGGGGTTCACTCTTTGTGTGCGTTTTGATAAATGCATGCTGTCATGTGTTCACCATTACAGTATCATACAGAAAGGCTTCACTGCCTCAACGTCACATGTGGTCCATCTGTGACTTCTACCCTTCCCTCTGGGCTCCAGGAAGCCACTGCCCTTTTGACTATGTCTGCAGCTTTGTCCTGTCCAGAATGCCAAATAAGTGGAATATAATAAATAGCCTTGTAGCCTGGCTTAACTAAGCAATGCAAATTTAAGACACTTCTTTTTTCCCCTTTTTAAAAATTATCAATTTTAATGAAAATTTATGGAGACTTTGGATTTTCATTCATTGATTTTTACACTTTTCTCCCTGCCCACCCTTCCACCCTAGTTCACTCTTCTCTTTAAAAAGTAAAAGAAAAATTTTCTTGGTTATACAATCCCTCCCCCCAAGTACACTCCACTATGCAGCCTTCATTCTGAACTCCTATCATGACAGTAATACCTAATCACATATCCCTTTTAAACAGTTCTCTCCCTCATGTTTCAATGCAGTATACCTTATTGAACCCATATTTCTCAGTCTCCCCACAACCCCGATATCAGTCCCGTTTTACAACAGTGGCAATATGTAGTATTTGTCCTTTTGTGACTGAGATATTTCACTCAGCATAATGTCCTCCAGGGTTACCCATTTTGTATATATGAGTTTCTTGTTTTCAATGCAGTGTAGTATTCCATTGTGTGAATATACCACAGCTTCTCTATCCATTCATTTGTTGATGGGCACTTAGGTTGTTTCCAACTCTTTGCTTATGAACAGAGCCATGATAAACATGGCTGTGCATATATCTGCCTGGGTGGCTGTTATGGTTTCCTTGGGGTATATTTCCAGTAGTGGAATTGCTGGGTCAAATGGTATTTCTATTTGCAAATTTTTGAGAAAGCGCCATAAGACTTGTCTTTTTGTGACTTGATACATCATTTCTTTTTTAAAGAAATGCAAATACTCCATTATACAGGTGTTTCAGTTTCCTCATCCACTCACCTATTGCAGGGTATCTTGTTCGCTTCTTGTTTTTGGCAATTACAAGCAAAGCTGCTATAAACATTTCTATGTGTATTTTTTAAATGTAGGTATCTATTTTCCACTAATTTGTGGAATAAGTGGTTGCTGGGAAGGTTGTTTATCTTTGTACGAAACTGCTAAAACTGCCTCCTAAAGTAGCTGCACTGTTTTGTATTCCACCAGCAAGGAGCAAGAGTACCTCTTCTGATACATCCTTGACAGCATTTAATGTTGCTAGTGTTTGGGATTTTAGCCATTCCAGTAGTTTATAATGTATTTCACTCTTATTTTAATTTGTAATTTCAGAATGCCACTGACTAGGGAGCTTTGGGCGTCTAGAGGGTAAGGAGTTTCACTACCAGTCCAAAGCAGGTAGTTTGACCCACCAGCTGCTCTAGGGCAGGAAGAAGGGCAGTCTCCTCCTATGCAGTTTACAGCCTCTATAAACCAGCTGCAAGGTGAGCTGAGTCAGTTCTAACTGGAGGCAATGAGATGATGGTAATGATGGAAGCCCTTGAATGGTAGCCTAGATGGTGCTCCTGGCTGACGACTTAACTACTAGCTGAAGGTGGGGTTTAGGACCACCTACAGGTACAGGCTTGAAAATCCTATACAACAGTTTTGTTCATAACACATTATGGATGCCATGAATAGGAATTGATTCAATAGCAACTAACAAAAGCAACAATGGCACATTATATAGATTTTGCTGTATGCTTATTTGCCATCGGGAACCTTGTTGTAGCATAAAGGTTAAGCAGTTGCTACTAACCAGAAGGCTGTCAGTTCAAATCTACCAGTCACTTTGGAGGAGAAAGATGTTGCAGTCTGTTTCCATAAAGGTGTGCAGCCTTGGAAATCCGATGGGGCAGTTCTCTCAATTCTACAAGGTTGTTATGAGTCAGACTGGATGGGAGTTAGGCTCTCTCTTTCTCTCTCCCCCTTCATTTTCCATGTTTATCTTTGAGGTTTCTATTCACATTACTTTTTTGGAGTTAAGGTTTGTTGTTTTCTTCTGTTCTGTTTTGAGTTGCAGGCATGTTTTGGATGAAATCTTAAGAGAAGTGTTTTGCAAGTATTTTCTTCCAGTCTATGGCTTGTATTTTTCATTCTTTTAAGTGTTTTTAGAAGAGCAAAGCTTTTCATTTCAATGAAGCTCAGTGTTTTATCTCACTGCCACACAATCAAGATTGTCTCAAACTTATTACCATCAAATTGGTTCTGATGAATAGCTGACCCTCCATTGGTTTGAGGCTGTAAATCCCACAGGATAAGATTGCTCACCTTTTTCCCTCAGAGCTGCTATTGGACAGGAATCACCAGGGAAGCACGGTCTTCCTTTGGGCACAATTCCCTAGACTACTCCAGCAGAGCTTTCTCCAATGTTATCTGCTAGAGAATTACAGGTTAGTGTTTTAAATTTAGGTCTGTGATCTTTTTAGAGATGATTTTTTGGAGAAAGATGTGAGGTCAAAGCTAGATTTCATTAACATGTAGATGTTCCAGTTGTTCTGGCATCATTTGTTGAAAAGAATATCCTTTCTCTATTTAAAGATTAGTGTACTATTCATATGTTTACTTTTGGGTTATCTATTCTGTTCTATTGATCTGTTTGCCTGTTCTTCACTAGCACCACATTGGATTGAGTATGGTTGGTGTAGAGGTTGATACTTTTGAGTCTTCTGATAATTCTTCAGTATTGTTTTGGCTACTCTTTTTCCATACAAACTTTAGAACTAGCTTGTTAATATTCACAAAATAATCTGCTGGTATTCTGATTAGGATTGCATTGAATCGATAGATCATATGGGTAAAAACTGACATCCTAGCAATATTGAGGCATCCTATCCATGAACATAGAATGTATTTCCATATATTTACATATTTGATATTTTTTTCATCAAAGTTTTGTAGAGTTCCATACTTAGACCTTTAAAATGTTGTTAGATTTATGCCCAAACATTTCACTTTTTAATGCTAATTAGTATTGTTTTTAATTTCAAAATACAATGTAAAATAATTTCCAGTTACTTGTTGCTAGAGTATAGAAAAGTAGTTGTTTCTTGTGTATTAACTTTCTATTTTGTAACTTTATAAAATTTTTTTTTATAAAGTTCCAGGAAATTTTCATGGAATCTTTGGAATTCTCTGCATAAGTAATCCTATCATATGCAAGACAGTTGATTCTAGTTATAAAAAGTTATCAAATAATATTCAGGAACAGATTTTTAGAAGGTGTAGCAGGTGGGATTGCTGTCTTTGCTTTGTGTTTTGGGTGTCAAAGTGCTAGAATACACTTTTGTCCTTCCCTTTTGGATTTTTGGTCAATGATGCTCAGTTTTTTGCTGGTAATTTTCTTTCACCATGAATTTGTGTTTTTCCCGTTTCTCACTCATTTCCATCAGAGAAGTGATTTTTGAGTAGAGGGAATAATGGTAGAAATGTGAATTTGAACTAAATTGCTTCTTATTACCCACATGTGTTTTTTACACATAGGCTCAGCTCTATATGCGTATAACAATGCCATCTTCACCCCAGAGGACTGGGATGGCATCCAAGAAATAGCAAGAAGCAGGAAGAAGGATGATCCTCTGAAGGTTGGAAGATTTGGAATTGGGTTTAACTCTGTTTATCATATAACAGGTACAGTATGTGCCTTTTCAGCTTTGAGACTGCAAGTTGTTTTAGACGAGGAGCTGTCATTTATTTGGCTAACTTCAGAGAGGATATTATTGTGAAAGCCTCCTTCTCAAATTCTTCCTTCAGTGTATCACTTCATCTTGTGATACTGAAAGTTAAATGCCATCATGATATAGTAGAAATAACCAGTGTAACTAACAGATTTAAGTACTTTTATATTGGGCTTAAACTGCAGCTTTAAAAAGGCCAAGTCAAAATGGTTTCTCTAAAAAGTTTCACAAAACTTAAAGCTATTTCTTCATATTGACTTATATGCATTTCTGAATATCAGATGTTTAAAAGGGAGAGTATCTGCTGATATCAAATGATGGCAAAGTGCAGGCTTCTGAAGTGGTTTTGTTTCTCTCATAAAAATTATGCTTCTGTGAGTGTCTTAGATAAAGATGATGTTAGAATCATGTTTTGCATTAGAAGGAATGTAGTTTCTGGTTCACAGTTGCAAAGGGAAACTAACAACTCTAAGAGTATAAGGCTATTTTTGCAAAATTAGAGTGCTTCCTGTATTTCTTTTAAACAAGCAGTTTTAAAACCTTGTTATGATTTATGTTTACAGACTGTTTCTTGCAGGAGAAATTAAAATGCATGACTATGTAGTCAGGTGTCATCCAGCTGACTGCAACTCATAGCTGTAACTAAACTGACTACATAAGTCACCTACAATAATTTATGTTATATACTAGATTAAGAGAACACTGGTCGCCTAGTGGCAAGAAGCTGCGTTGCAATCCTGAGAGATGGATGTGCAGTCGCCCCCCCCCCACAATGCGATTAAGCTTCTGAACTCTATGGTACATAACAACACACTATATTATGCTAATTTGCTTCTTTGAAGATTTCTGTCTACTATAAATTTCTAATGTTCAGAGAATTACATTTCCAAAGCCAAATTGAGCTTTTAATTTGTAAAATCTATTTTATAATAAGTTTATGGGTCATAGACCATTCTGATGGTAATAAGTATTTCGCTGTCATTGTAACTGTCCCTGCTCACTGAATTTCAGAGGCGGTTGAATTTATCCTTGCAGATGTTCCCTGCATCTTCAGTGGCGACAAGATCGGGATGTTGGATCCTCACCAGACCCTCTTTGGCCCCCACGAATCAGGCCAGTGTTGGAATCTCAGAGATGACAGCAAAGAAATCAGCGAGCTCTCGGACCAGTTCGCACCCTTTTTGGGCGTTTTTGGGAGCACCGTGGACACGTTTGCCGAGGGCAGTTTTCCAGGGACCTTTTTCCGCTTCCCCCTCCGCCTGCAGCCTTCACAGCTCAGCAGTAACCTGTACAACAAGCAGAAGGTGCTGGAGCTGTTCGAGTCCTTCCGGGCCGACGCGGACACAGTGCTGCTCTTTCTCAAGAGCGTGCAGGCCGTGTCCCTGCATGTCCGCGAGGCCGATGGTACCGAGCGCCTGGTGTTCCGGGTGACAGCTAGCGAGGGCCAGGCCCCGCCCCAGGAGCGGCCCCACGCCATCCAGACCCTGGGCACCGCCATCACCAACTACTGCAAGCAGGTCCCCAGCAGCAGCATCACCTGCGTCACGTACGCCATGGACATCGTGCTGGAGGAGGAAGGTGCTGCGGACGCTCACAAAACCTCGTGGCTGGTGTGCAACAGCGTGGGCGGCCGCGGGCTCTGCGCCCAGCTGGACGCGCTGGCCGATGAGCTCAAGTTCATCCCGCTCATCGGGATCGCCAGGCCTTTGTGCCGCGGGGCGGACGAAGGAGAGGCAGCGGGCGCGGATTTCACAGGAAAGGCCTTCTGCTTCCTGCCTTTGCCACCCGGCGAGGAGAGCAAGACAGGGCTCCCGGTCCACGTCAGCGGCTTCTTCGGGCTGACGGACAACCGGCGGAGCATCAAGTGGCGCGAGCTGGACCAGTGGCGGGACCCCGCGGCCCTGTGGAACGACCTCCTGGTCCTGAACGTGGTGCCCAGGGCCTACGCCACGCTCATCCTGGACGCCATCCGGCGGCTGGAGGCGCAGGCGGGCGCTGGGCCCCTGTCGGTGGCCGGGATTTACCGGCTGTGGCCCGACGGGAGCGCGGTGCGGGCGCACTGGCAGCCGGTGCTGCAGCCGCTGCTCCACGAGCTGCTGCCCAAGGCCGTCATCCACGCCATGAGCGGCCAGTGGGTGACGCTGGAGCAGGCTCACCTCTCGGACCTGGACGAAAGCGCGGCCCACGCCAGGACCGTGCTCAGCTACCTCCAGAGCTCAGGGAAGCAGGTGGCCAAGGTGCCGGCCCACCTGGCGGCCGCCCTGCAGGTGACGGGCAGCGCCAGGCCCGCCAAGCGCGTGACGCCTGCGCTGGTGCGCCAGGTGCTGCGCAAGTCGGCGCCCCCTGGCGGCGCGGAGGAGAAGCTTCACCTCCTGGAATTTGTGCTGTCTGACGAAGTTTACAGCGAACTCCTAGGATTGGAGCTTCTCCCCTTACAGAACGGGAACTTCGTTCCCTTCTCCTCATCTGTATCAGATCAAGATGTTATTTATATTACCTCAGAGGAATATCCCAGGTAGTCCAGAATACACAAGGCGTGCAGGTTTCCTCTCCAGGGCTCCCCTCTGCTTCCTGGTGTCAAATCCTTCACGGTGAAATAGGTTTGAAAGAACTTTGCAGGAATGATGCATTAAAATATTAAAAGATATAGTTATATGTCTTAGTGTGAAAAAGGAGCTCTGGTGGCCTAGTGGCAAGGAGCTGTGTTGCAATCCTGAAGGCATACACACAGTTCGAAGCCATCAGCTGCTCTCTGGGAACTGTAAAAAGCTTTCAGATGTTCATAGTTTAAAAATAGCTTTATTGCAAATTTTCTCAGAGATTTTCAGGACAGAATACTGGTTATCAAATACGAATAATTATTATATATTATATATTTAAATATTTGTTTATATATTATTTAATACTAATATTAAATACTAATATGAAAAACACTGGTTATTAAATACTACTATTATGATTAAGGGTACCTGGTGGCACTTTAGGTTAAGTCTTGGAAAACCTATGGGGCAGTCCTCATGTCCTTCAACATCACTGTGGGTCAAAACTACATGCCAGAGGCTAGTACAACAAAAATTAATTAGTACAACAGAAATTAATTGTACATTTTGATAAAATAGAATTTATATTATTTAAATTAATTATTTCTTTGTAACTGAGTGTGAGTGTTACCATCTCAGAAAACATTATTGTTTTTATTCTAAGGGTTTTTAGGACAAGGCTGATTTTGGTGCATGATAGCCTCACATTATAAAGTAAAAGTGTTTGATCAAAAATACTGTATCATCAAAAAATATATATGATTTTGTTCAAAAGTGTTTAGGACAATTCTGAATGTGTATTAAAAATACATTACTATACTTAAAAACATTTTATATTTTAAAGTAAAACAGTCTTTGATCACATTTTAAAGTATAGTGTTTGATCAAAAAAGCAGTGTACTTTGATTTGATGTATGCATTAAAGTTTGTGCTGGAAATGCTGTTTGACTTTCTCAGCCTAGAAATTATTAGAAAATGATAATAAGATTGCTGTATTTTCTTTCCCTTCCTAGGTCCCTCTTCCCAGGGCTTGAAGGAAGATTCATTTTGGATAACTTGAAGCCTCACATTCTAGCTGCTTTAAAGGAAGCTGCCAAAACCAGAGGTATTAACAGTTTAATTAAGTAATTACTAATAGTATTATTCATAATTATGAATGAATTATTATAAAGTTTTAATAAATTTTCTACTAAGTTGATTTTATATGAAATGATTAATATTTATCCATTTCAGAATTATGAGCTCTACATAGCTCTAGCCTAATCTAACTCTGATATTTAAGGTGTTTTTTGTAACCAGTCTCAATGTCTGCAGAATCCATAGCTGACCTTGAACTGTTTTTAAAAATGGTGCACTGCATACTGTATCAAATTGATAACTGTGAGTTTGGTAGTTTGAAACCAGCAGTTGCTCCTTGGGAGAAAGACAGGTAGTCTTCTCCCATAAAGATTTACAGCGGTGGACTTGTAGGCCAATAAGACTAACACCATGACAGTGTTATCCAGCCCACTGCTGCTGAGTCAGTTCAAACTCAGGACAAGGTTGCAGATCCTTACGGGAGCAGGCTGTCTTTTTTCCTGCCAAGGATTTGAAACACCTGCAGTTTGGGAAGCAGACCAATATGCTATGGGTAATGCCACCAGGGCTTCTTGGAACAGAGTTACATAGATAATTCCTTGACATCTTAGAAGAGTGTGAATATACTTTATTGAGAATTCTTTTTAGGAAAATACAGAATAGTTGGGGGGAGGGATCACAATGGTTCTGAGTTTAATATGTTCCTTCAACTTTTGGAAGAGTCTTTTCCCTTGTAAAATTGGGACCTGGAATTTCTTTTTTTTCTAAGTTAGATATTGATGTGAAAAATTTGTTGAACTGGCTACAGTTGTAAAAACATATTTTTGATGAATATTTTTAATACCAGTTGTTGTTGTTGTTGATTACCTTGGAGTCGAACATAACTCATAGCAACCCCATGAACAAAGGCCTGAAGCCTGTCTACGAGTATCGACATTTATCAAAGTTTGTAGAGTTTCCGGAGGCATGTTGTTTAAGAACCAGTAGTCCCCCAGTTTATGATGACCTGCCTTTCTCATGATGAGTTTTTACATAAGTTGGATATCTTCCCCCCTTTTCATTTCAAAACATGCTCATTTTTGAACAGCAAAGCATAAAACAGAATATCTGAGATTGAACATCTATTACTGCATCAACATAGTATTCAGTATAAGCTGGTACATACCAGTCAGGTCACTTTCGATCCACGGAGACCCAATGTATGATAGAAACAAGCACCTTCAAGTCCTATGCCATCCTCACAGTTGCTCCTGTGGTGAGCCCCATTGTGTCATTCTATCTTGTCCAAGGTCAAAGGTCTTCCTATTTTTCTTTGATCATCTACTTAAAAAAAATAACAATGATAATACATATTGCTAAAAAAGTACAAAACCAGAAAAGCAATAGAAGGTACTAAGTGTGGTTCATCAAACCTCAAAGTCCGTGGTTAATGAGGAATGTAAACAGATACTAGCAACATTTTCTCCTTGGAGAACACTGCATGTCTTGTTTCAGACCTTGTGGATGCCAGAAAGGATCACTCACCAGTTAGGCTCCATCACAAAGGGCATTGATGCTATTCCTGTTCCTGTCATTAGTCTGGAAATATCTACATTGGCTTACTTTCTTTTCACAGATCTGCAGGAAAAGTTGCTCATACTTCTGTATTTTCTCCATTAACCTAAATGCAAGCAAAAGGGAGCAGAACAAAAGGAAGGCAAATTGAGAATGGAGTTAAAATGAGGAGGCAAATGTTACTTGCCATAAGGGATCTGCAACTAAAAGTTGTTGCTGTTATATGTTGTTGAGTCGCTTGTGACTCATAGTGACCCTATCTATATTCAACAGCTCTGAACTCTCCTCTATCTTGAGCCAACTTTATTGTCTCTGACACACCTTCCCCTATTACCTCAGTCACACAATCAATCCATCTCATTGAGGATCTTCCTCTCTTGCACTGTCCCTCTACACTCTCAAGCATGATGTCCCTTTCCAAGGACTGGTTCTTCATGTCCAAAGTATGTCATAAGAAACTTCAGAGTCCTTGTCTCCAAGGAGCAGCCTGATCTCAAACTCTCTAGGACAAACCTGTTTGTTCTCCTAGCAGTCCATGGATACTCAATACTCTTCTCCAACACCACAGCTCAAATGCATGTTTTCCCTCTATTGTCCCTAGTCATTGTCCAGCTTCCTGATAGTCACTGTGAAATGGATTTTTTCCTGACATCTAGATGACTCATTTAATGGAGAACTAGCGTCTTCAAAGAAACCTTAATTGGGAGTTTCAACACTAAGTATCATACTTTAGTTATGTTGTAAGGAGGCACCAATCCTTGGGAAAAGACTTAAAGTTGGGAAAAACAGAGGGTCAGTGAAAGAGAAGCAGATGCCAAATAAGATGTATTGAGACAGTGACTGCGACAATGGGCTTGTGCATGGCAAGAGTGTGTAAGGATGGAACAGCATAGGGCAAGATTTTGATCTGCTTCCAGATGCTGTGCATCATATACAGTTTTACCAACTGAACACACTCAGCTAACTATGTTAAAACAACAACAACAGGGGGTTACCAGTACTCCAGAAACCCCACTTGTGTCCTTACACCCACTCCTCAACTCAGTACCAGACTCACTATTGTTAGGTAGCTCGTGTCTCATAGAACTGCCTTATCAGGTTCTGAGTCATCCTTATAATAGCAGACTGCTTCATCTTTCTCCCTAGGAGTTGTTGGTGAGTTTGAACCACTAGCCTTTCAGTTAGTCTTAGCCCACTGCGCTACCAGGGCTCCTTTACATCTACCTGACTTGTACCAGCACAAATCAATTTAGCCAGTCTTTGCACTTCACCTCAAAGGAATCATACCGTATACACTCTTATACCTAGTTTCTTTTATGTGGGAGTGCTGGTGGCATGGATTGAATGCTAACTGAAAGATCAGTGGTTCGAATTCACTAGCCATTTTTTGGGAGAAAGATGAGTAGTCTCCTCCCCTAAAGATTTATAACCTTGGAAAAGTGGAGAGTGTCCAGGGGTCAGGACCTACTACTCCACAGCAGTGGGCTTGAGTTGGGTGTATTTTAATTATTATTCTGTTTGTAAGACTTCATCTGCATTCTTGAATGTAGTTATAGATCATCTTTTCCAATCTTTTTAAGAAGTCACTGTGTAATGTTACAACTTTCTTGTGAGAGAGATTTTTGTTGCTGGCAACTTGTTCCAAAAATTTTTCAGAACCAAATCAGGTGAAGAAGGAGGAAGGCCAATCAGAATAGTACTATTTCTGTTCGGGAATTTTTAGACACCCAGATGCAGAGACCAGCACGCCACAGGGAATAAGCTGATCACTGGCCACTATGCCGTCTCACTGGTTGAGTCCATTGACCAAATAATCTATAATGATTTGTTTGCTTATCAAATGTGCTTTCTGGTTTTAATTTTCTGTTTAGGTATTTAAAAACTGAATGGAACATCTTTGTAGTTCCAGTGTCAAAAGGAGAAAGGACGTTCAGAGAGGTCCCATTCCTGTCATACACACACTCCTGCTCCAATTACTGGGAACAATTTTTAGTATCTTTTTTTTCTTACACTTTTAAAAAATTGGTTTGCTTATAAAGTTTATATACATTGTGTTTGACACTATTCTTATTCACATTGTGTTACATACAGTCATTCTCATGCATTGTTGTTCTGTTGTTGTTATATGACATTGAGTCGCCTGCGACTCATAGCGACCCTAAACTATGCTCTATCCTGTGCCAGTCTCATTGTCTGACACACCTAACCCCCTAACTCCAGTCACTGAATCAATTCATTTCATAGAGGGTCTTCCTCTCCTGAATTGTCCCTCCACCCTCCCAAGCATGATGTCCCTCTCCAAGGACTGGTCCCTCCTTGCAGTAGGTCCACAGTATGCCAGACGAAGCTTCAGAATCTTTGCCTCCAAGGAGCAGCCTGGCTTCACCCTCTCCAGGACAACCTGTTCGTTCTCTTAGCAGTCCATGGTATATTCAGTACTTTTCTGTAATACCACACCTCAAAGCCATCAATTCTCCTTCTTTTATCCCTAGTTATTGTCCTGCTCTCTGATGCATAGCAAGTGATTGCAAAGACCATGGCCTTTATCAGACGCACCTTAGTCTCCAGACTGACATCATTGCTCTTCAGTACTTTAGAGAGGTCTCTAACCGCAGACTTTCCCATCCCATCATGCCTTTTTATTTCCTGGCTACTGGTGCCAACATAAGCAAACTAAAGCTCTAAACACTCTTAATCTCTTCAGTATCCATCATGATTTTGTCAATCAGCCCAGTGGTGACAATCTTTGCTTTCTTAATATTGAGCCTCAATCCATATTGAAGCCTGCCGTCCCTGACCTTCTGCAGCAAGCGCTTCAAGTCCTCCTCAGTTTCAGCAGCACGGTTGTGTCATCTGCATAACGCAGATTGTTGATGAGTCTTCTTCCAATCCTGATGCCACCCTTCTCCTCTTACAGCCCAGCCTCCCGAATACTCTGTTCTGCATAAAGATTGAAAAGGTATGGAGATAGGACACATCCCTGCCATACACCCTTGCCAATTTTGAACCATGCAGTGTTTCCTTGCTCTGTTCTGACAACTGCCTCCTGGTCCAAATATAGGTTTCACATTAACACGATCAAGTGTTCTAGGATTCCCATTCTTCTTGGACTTAGCCACATTTTGTTGTGATCCACATAGTCAAATGCCTTTGCATAATCAATGAAACACATATAGACATTTCTCTGATATTCCCTGCTTTCAGCCAAGATCCATCTAGCATTAGCTACAATATCCCTAGGACTACGACCCCTTCTAAAGCCAGCCTGCATTTCTGGTAGTTCTTTGTTGATGTGCTCTTCCAATCAGTTCTGGATAATCTTCAGCAGAATCTTGCTTTCATGTGATATCAGTGATATTGTTGGATAATTTCCACCCTCTTTCAGATTGCCTTTCTTTTGAATGGGAACAAATTAGATCTCTTCCATTCAGTTGACCAAGTGGTTGTCCTCCAGATTTCTTGGTACAACTTGGT